GTTCCTGTTTCTCCATATCCATGCTAGCATCTGCAGTTTTGAGACTTTGTGATTTGGTCCATTCTCACAGGAGTTATGTATATATATATCTCAGGATAGTTTTGGTTTGCATTTCTGTGATGGTTAGGGACAATGAGCATTTTTTTCATGTTTGTTAGGCAGTCGTCTGTCTTCTTTAGAGAAGGTTCTCTTCATGTCTCTTGCCCAGTGATATATGGGATTGTTAGGTCTTTTTTTTGTTGATTAATTTGAGTTCTGTATAGATCCTAATTAGCAAGCTTTGTCCAGTTCATAATATGCAAATATCTTTTCCCATTCTGAAGGTTGTCTATTTGCTTTGGTTGTTGTTTCCTTAGCTGTACAGAAGCTTTTCAATTTAATTAAGGCCCATTTGTTTATTTTTGTTGTTGCAATTCTTTATAAAATCTCTCTCTAGGCCAATATCTTCAAGTGTTTTCCCCACACTTTCTTTGAGGATTTTTATTGTTTCATGCCATAGATTTAAATCTTTTCTCCATCTTGAATCAATTTTTGTAAGAGGTGAGAGGTGTGGGTCCAGTTTCAGTCTTTTCCATGTGGTTTTCAGTTCTCCCAGTACCATTTATTGAATAGGGAGTCTTTACCCCAGTGTATATTCTTGTTGGTTTATCAAAGATAAGGTGGCTATAAGATGTTAGTTTTATCTCATGGGTTTCTATTTGGTTCCAAATGTCAGTGTCTCTGTTTTTGTGCCAATACCATCCTGTTTTCACCGTGGCCTTATAGCCAAAAGTCTGGTAGGGTGATACCCCAGCTTTGTTTTTATTACTAAGAATTGCCTTGGCTATATGGGGTTTCTTCTGGTTCCATACAAAATGAAGAATTATTTTTTCCAATTCTTGAAAGTATGATGATGGAAATTAATGGGGATAGCATTGAATCTGTATTGCTTTGGGTAGTATAGACATTTTCACAATTTGATTCTTCCCAGCCATGAACATGGTATGTTTTTCCATTTGTTAATATCTTCTGCTATTTCTTTTCTTAGGGTTTCGTAGTTTTATTTGTAGAGGTCCTTCACTTCTTTTGTTATGTATGTTCCTAGGCATTTCATGTTTTTTTTTTTTTTTTTGAAGCTGCTGTGAAGGGAATTGTGTCTTTGATTAGTTTCTCATCTTTGAAATTGCTGCTGTGAAGGGAATTGTGTCTTTGATTAGTTTCTCATCTTTGATTAGTCTCTCATCATTGATTTGTGCACATTGATTTTGTATCCTGAGTCATTGCTGTATTTTTTGATCAATTCCAGGAATCTTAAGGTTGGATCTTTGGGGTTCTCTGAATAAAAGATCATATCATTGGCAAAGAGTGAGAGTTTGACCTCCTCTGCTCTCATTTAAATGCCCTTTATTTCCTTCTCTTGCCTGATTGTATTAGCTAGAAATTCTAGCACTATGTTAAATAGTAGTGGTAAAAGAGGACAACGTTGTCTGGTTCCAGTTCTAAGTGGAAAAGCTTTCACTTTTACTCCGTTTGGTATATAATATTAGCTATGGATTTATCATAGATGGCTTCAATCAGATTAAGAAATGTGCCACCTATGCCTATATTCTTAAGTGTTCTGATTAAAAAAGGATGCTGAGGCTCAGTGCCCATAGCACAGTGGTTACTGCGCTGGCCACATACACCAAGGCTGGTGATTTCAAAACCAGTCCAGGCCAGCTAAACAACAATGACAACTGCAACAAGAAAAATAGCTGGGCATTGTGGTGAGTCCCTATAGTCCCAGTTAGTTGGGAGGCTGAAGCAAAAGAATCCCTTAACAAAGAGTTTGAGGTTTCTGTGAGCTATGACACCATGGCAGTCTACCAAGGGCAACATAGTGAGACTCTGTCTCAAAAGAAAAAAAAAGGTAGAAAAGGATGCTGAATTTTATTGAATGCTTTTTCTGCATCTATTGAGAGGATCATATGGTCTTTGTTTTTGCTTCTGTTGATGTGGTGAATTACATTTATGGACTTGGGTAGGTTAAACCAGCCTTGCATCTCTGGGCTGAAACCTACTTGATCATGATGAGTGATTTTTTTAATGTGTAGCTATAATCTATGGCTAATGTGTATTAAGAATTTTTGCATCTATATTCATTAGTGAAATTGGTCTGAAACTCTCCTTGTCAGTTGGGTCTTTTCTTGATTTTGGTATCAGGGTGATGTTTGCTTCATAGAACATGTTGGAGAAGATTCCTTCCCTCTCAGTTTTTTGGAATAATTTTTGCAGTATGAGTATAAGCTCTTTGAAGGTTTGATAGAATTCTGGTGTGAAGCCATCTGGATCACAGCATTTTTTTTGTTGGAAAATGTTTTATTGTTTCTTCAATCTCAGTTCTTGAAATAAGTCTGTTCAAGAGATCTATTTCTTATTAAGTCTAGGGAGAGGGTATGATTCCAGGTATTGATCCATTTCCTCCACATTGTCAAATTTCTGGTTATAGAGTTTCTTATAGTACTCAGAGATGATCTTGTATCTCTGTGGCATCTGTTGTTATTTCCCCTTTATCATTTCTGATTGAGGTTATTAGAGATTTTACTTTTTTGTTTCTAGTTAATCTGGCCAAAGGTTTATCAATTTTGTTTTTTCAAAAAAACCTTTTTGTTTCATTAATTTTCTGAATGATGCTTTTGTTTTCAATTTCATTAACTCTGATTTAATTTTGGTTATTTCTTTTCTTCTGCTGGGTTTGGGATTAAATTGTTCTTCTTTTTCCAGTTTCATAATATGGTTCATGAGTTTGTTGATGCACTCTCTTTCTGTTTTTTGAATATAAGTATCTGATGTGATAAATTTCCCTCTTAAGACTGCTTTTGTTGTATCCCACAGATTTTGGTAACTTGCATATTCATTGTTGCTATGTTTGAGGAATTTAACAATTTCCTCTTTTATCTATTTCTGAACCTAGCTATCATTCAGCATAAGGTTGTTTAATTTCCAAGTCTTTGTGTAGGGATAAATGTTTTTGTTGGAGTATAGTTCTACCTTTATTGCCTCGTGGTCTTAGAAGATACAAGGTATAATTTCTATTCTTTTAATTTTTCTGAGGTTTGATTTGTATCCTAAGATGTGGTCAATTTTGGTGTACGGACCATAGGCTGACAAGAAAAATGTATATTCTTTAGCTTTGGGATAGTGTGTTCTATATATGTCTATTAATCTGTTTGTTCTAAGGTCACATTTAAGTTCTTTGTATCTTTGTTTATTTTCTGTTTAGAGGATCTGTCCAGTTCTGTCAAAGGGGTTTAAGTCTCTAACTGTTATGTTGTTATGGGATATCATATTGCTCAGACCCATCAAGTCTGTTTCATAAAATCTAGGAGCATTTAAGTTGGGTGCATAAATATTTAAAATTGAAATGTCTTCTTGTTGTATTAATCCTTTGACCAACATAAAGTGTCCATCTTAGTCTTTCTTAACTTTAGTTGCTTTAAATGCATTTGTATCTGAAAATAAGATTATAACCCCTCCTTTCTTCTGATTTTCAATTTGCTTGAAAAATACTGTTTTCCATCCCCTAACCCTGAGTCTTGATTTGTCCTTCAAGGCTAGGTGCATCTCCTGAAGACAGCAGCATATCGATGGCTTGTGCTTTTTTCTCCAAACAGCCATCCTGTGCCTCTTCAGGGGTGAATTCAGTCCATTGACATTTATTGAGTGAATTGATAAGTGTGGTGGACTTTAGAGACTGGTGTGTAGTTTTATCCTTTGTGCCATTATGGAAGCTAAGTTTTGACCTTTGGCTTCTGGGTGTTTACTTTGCTGGTGGTCCATTGTTATGGTTTGAGAATAGGAGACTTTGAATTCTTAAATAAGAAGGCTTGTTCAAAATTTATTCTTGAGCTCAGTGGCTCATGCCTATAATCCTAATACTCTGGGAGGCCAAGGCAGGTGGATTGCTTGAGCTCAGGAGTTTGAGACCCTGTCTCTACTAAAATTAGAAAATTCAGCTGAGCATTGTTGCCCAGGCTTGTAGTTCTAGCCACAGGAGAGGCTGAGGCAAGAGGATTGCTCAAGCCTGAGAGTTTGAGGTTGTTATGAGTTATGATTCCACAGCACTCTACCCAGGGTGACAGAGTAAAACTCTTATCTCAAAAAAAATTTTTTTTTAAATTTTTATCCTAAGGGATTCCTTTTGTACACAAGGAATTCCTTTTGTCCTTTTACAGCACATTTGTACACAAGAATGCTGTAAAAATGTTCATGGAGCCATAGTTTATGAGAGCAAAAATTTCCACTAATTTGGATTTATTTAGTCAGTTTAATAAATTATAATAATATTAATAGCTACATGTGACAGTCACTAAAAATTATGATATAGAAGAAAGTTTAAGAAGATGGGAACAATTGTAATATATTAAGTAAAAAAAGGAGATTGATTCTGTTTTATATTTAAGAATAAAGGTAGAACACTGAGGAATTTTAGGAGAGTGAAACTATTCTGGATGCTATTGTAATGGTGGATGCATATCCTTATACATTTGTCAAAACCTACACAGATTGTCTAACACCAAGAGTGAATCCTACTATAAACTTAAGACTGTGTAATAATGACACGTCAATGTCAGTTCACTGATTGTAACAAATGTACCACTCTGGGGGGTGGATATTGATAGTCAAGGAAGTTGTTTGTGTTGGGAGGTAGGTGGTAATGGTATTCTCTCTACATTCTGCTCAGTTTTACTATAAACCTAAAATTGCTCTTAAAATAATTTATTTAAACTGAAAAAATAAAATTAAATGAAAGAAAGGGACGGTTATACCCCTAAATTGTTAGCCATCATTACATCTGGTGATTATGTCAAGGGTGATTTGTTCGTATGTGTGCTTTTTTATATTTTCCAATTTTTTTTAAATGGACATTTGTTATGTTCATACTCAGAAAAAGATTCTTTACTGAAGAGGTCCCAGCTGCAGGTCTGTGAACCCACACATTCTTAATGTTGATGCTCTGTTTTCTTTCCTTTTCCTGAAAGGGGCACCTGAGTGAGGGGTACGGCCAGCTTTGCAGCATCTACCTCAAACTGCTGAGAACGAAGATGGAGTACCACACCAAAGTGAGTCTTGGTGGGCGATTCTGTTGCCACCTCTGCTCCCACCCGAAGCCACACCTAAGCCATACCTCTCTGGACAGTCTTAGGGGTCTTCCAGGTAACAGACAGCCTGGGTTCTCAGGGAGTATGTGAAGCATATTCCAGCTGTGTAGGGGGTTAAACGGAAGTCAGGCCTTGAGGGTGTGGCATGGCTTGGGATTTTGGCCTGTGTCTCCTGCACCTTTTGGTCCCCCTTTTACATCTAGAAAGAGGAACTATATCTACTAAATTGCCTTATAATGTTATGGAAGCACTGATTTTACTATTAATATAAATAATTCCTGCAATTTCTATATATGAATTTCCACATAGAACCTTCTTTTAATCAATATATAACTTTGGTCAGTATGTATTTCTCCCACACTTAATCCATATAAAACTGTGTGCTCAGTACTAACAGGGATGTAAAAATGGGCTGGGCTTGGTGGTTCACATCTGTATTCCCAGTGCTTTGACACACAGGTGGCAGGATTGCTTGAGATCAAGAGTTCAAAACCAGCCTGGGCAAAATAGTGAGACCCTCTCTCTACAAAAAATAAAATAGGGCGATGCCTGTGACTCAGTGTGTAGGGCACCAGCCCCATATACTGAGGATGGCAGGTTCGAACCTAGCACTAGCCAAACTGCAACAACAAAAAAAATAGCTGGGCATTGTGGTGGGTGCCTGCAGTCCTAGCTACTCAGGAGGCTGAGGGAAGAGAATCGCCTAAGCCCAGGAGTTGGAGGTTACTGTGAGCTGTGACACCACAGCACCCTACCAACGGCAACAAAGTGAAACTCTGTCTCAAAAAAAATAATAAATAGGCTTGGCGCCTGTGGCTCAAGTGGCTAGGGCGCCAGCCACATACACCTAAGGTGGCGGGTTCGTATCCCCAGCCCAGGCCCACCAAACAACAATGATGGCTGCAACAAAAAAATGGCCAGGCGTTGTGGCGGGCGCCTGTAGTCCCAGCTACTTGGGAGGCTGAGGCAGGAGACTCGCTTGAGCCCAGGAGTTGGAGGTTGCTGTGAGCGTGATGCCATGGCACTCTACCTAGGGGGATAGCTGAGGCTCCATCTCAAAAAATAAATAAATAAATAAATAAATAAATAAATAAATAAATAAAATAATTAGCTGGGAGTGGGCTCAGGCATAGTGGCTCATGCCTGTAATCCTAATCACTGAGAGGTTGAGGCAGGAGGATCACTTAAGCTTAGCAATTCCAGACCAACCTGGTCCCCATCTCTACTAAAAATAGAAAGCTTAGCCAGGCATTCTGGTGGGCACCTTTAGTTTCAGCTACTCCAGAGACTGAAGTAGAAAATACTGGAACCCAGAAGTTCAAGGCTGCAGTGAGCTATGATACTACTACTTTACTCCAGCTTGGGCAACACAGCAATACTCTGTCGTTATTAAAAAAAAAAAAAAAGAAGTAAAAGTTGTCTGCATTGGAAAAGTTGACAGATTTGTAGGGTAAGAGTGTGCATGTACACGCTCTCAGTAGCCCTGTGCACAGCAGTTATCTGTGCCTGTGGAGAGGTGCCAAGGATGTTCTGAAGTGATGAAGGGTCATGAAGTCAGGAAGGGTAAAGTGAAAGTGGACTTTAAGGCATGGATATGGTGTAGATAGGTGGGTAGGGAGGAAAAAGGATGCTCTAGGTAGGTAGGAGAGAAAACAACTTGGGTTACAGAGCTGCCAGTAGAAATGGGGCAGGGAAGAGACTGAAAAAGTAGCACAATGTAGTATCTTTATCTCTGTTATCTTTTATGTACTTGAAGGATAGCTTGGATTCTTTGATACACTATTAAATCTTTTATGGACATAATTTGATATTTACAACAACCATACAAAAAGGTAGAGTTATTCAGTATATTTAGGAAAATGAAATTTGGACATTTCCCTTGCCCAAGTCTCATAGAAAGTGGAGGATTTGAACCCAAGTCTGCTTGGTGCTGATGCTGTGCTATGTCCAGTGGCTGTTCTTACTTCCTCGGTGTGTCCTTGAGTGCCTGTCATGGGCCAAGGTGGGGTTTGGTTCTGAAACAGAAAGATAAATCAACTTTGTCCTTGCCTTTGGGAGACAGGAGAGAGGTAGCAGAAGAAGAGAAGATAAATGTGAGCAAGGCTACAATTAGGAGAAGCAGAGGTGGCACAGAGAATTTAAGGGCATCTAACCCAGACTGGAGTCCAGATGAAGACCGTCGTGCTTGGCCATTACAGACACCGGAGGCATGGAGTGACACTTGAGCTCAATCTGAGTGCCTTCTGATTGTCTCGGCTGCATAACCTGTCCCTCAAAACTTGAGTGGCTTAACCCAGCCCCTTTTTTTTTTTTTTTTTGGGCAGTTCTTTGGCCGGGGCTGGACTTGAACCCACCACCACCAGATATGGGGCCGGCACCCTACTCCTTGAGCTACAGGCACTGCCAACACGGCCACTTTTATTAGCTCTCACACATTCTGCTGGTCAGGAGTTCTGCAAAGACTTGGGTGGGCACTTCTGGCTGGAGGGCTCTTACATGGTTGCAGTCAGATGCTGGCTAGAGCTGGAACTGTGGGGACTGCAGCAGAGCAGCTGGGGCTGGCCTAGTAGGCAGTGGGAAGAGAGGAGGTGGCCACATGATGAAGGGCAAGAGGGCAGCTCAGGCAAAGGCACACCTAAGGGTACGAGGCCAGGAGAGTTTATGATCTTGTGGAACTAGTGATAGATCCACGTTAGTGCAAGACTCGAGCTAAGTGAAGAGTGGTAGATGTGAGACTATCCCAGTCACAGAGGCCTCAGCACCTATCTGGGCAATACCTTCTGTAGAGTGGGACTCTTCTGAACCTTATAGGGATCAGACCATCAGGCAGCAAGATGGCCCACGCTGCATCTCAGGTTGCTCTTCCTGGGGATGTGGAGGGAGGAGAGGCTTGAGAGATCTGGGCTGCCAATATGGACAATGATGAGAGCCAGAATTAGGACAGTTATCCTCAGGACAGACAGAAGGCTGGGTACCACCTGGAGATTGGCAGGAAAGGGAGAGGGAGCATTAACCAGAGGGGCCACAGTGCCAGTGAGAAATACCTGGGTGACAAGAAGAAGGACATGAGCAGAGAGAAGCAGAGGCTGACAATCAAGATGCCTGGGACTGGTGGGCTCCAAGAGGATGGAGAACAGGTGTCTTCCCAGCACCTAGCCCAGAACAGGTGCTCAATGAAGATTTATCAAATGAATGTGATAATGAACCAGAACCTGGATGGGATCTAACAGCATAGGAGGGACTGGTCCTGAGTGAAGAAAGAGGCTCCAGAGGAAAGGAAGCACAGTAGATCTGTGCAGAGTTGGAAGGGTTATAGGAGATAGGATGCTGAGGCCACCACCGTGTGAAGATGGAAGGTTGTGCGCTGAGGGTGATTGGCGTGGGAATTGGATAACAAGTTTGAAAGTAAAAGTCATCCAGGAAAGGGTAGCTGGTCAGGGACAGTGGCAGGACTGTTAAGGGCACTATTATGGACTGAATGTTTGTTACCCCACCGCCAATTTACATGTTGAAATCCAAACCCCCAATGTGATGGGATTGGAGCCTTTAGGAGGTCATAGGTCATGAGGGTAGATCCTCATGAATGAGATTAGTGCCCCAGTAAGAAGGGGTAAGAGAGAGCTTGCTGCTTCTCCCTTTCTACCATGTGAGGGACATGACCAGGAACTGAATATGCCAGCACCATGATCTTGGGCTTCTCAGCCCCCAAGACTATGAGACATCAGTGCCTGGGGTTTAAGCTGCCAAGTCTGTGGTATTTTGTAATAGCAACTTGAGCTGACTGGGACAGACACTAAGGCCAAAGGGCATGAGCAGAGAGTGACACCAGCTGTGAGTCCTCTGGGGATGTTTGGCAGCTGACCCTGAATACAGAGTATGTGACAGGGACCCAGGCTCTTCAGGTCTTCATAGCAGGATGGTGGAAAGAAGGGCAGGGGTGGGAGGTGGGACTGAGCCAGAAGTCCAGACTGAGCCAAGAAGTGAATGTGGACAGAGAGATTAGAGAGTGGGCTTAGGAAGGGACTGGCTGTCTCTGGGATAGTGGAGCATGAGCAGTGGGTAGACATGAGGGCAGGAGAGGACTGGAACAGCAGAGTCCTGGAGGTTGTAGCCAGAGAGTGGATGCTGGAATGGAGGACACTGTACAGGACAGTTCTACGTGGTGGCAGGGTCCAGGATGGGCACACATAGCCGGGGGTAGAGTTAGAGGCCAGGGTGCTGAAATTGAGGAGGTCAGAGGTTATAATCCCAGAGTATTGGTCCTGGAGCTGGGGCAGAGGAAAACTTTGGTACAAGTGCCAGGGACTTGGGTGAATGCCAGGAAGTGACCAGGAGATGGCACGTCCCAGGGATGAGGAGACAGAAAGGGGGGGGATAATTGAATTTAATGAGCCTACAAACAAGAGCCATTTTCACATGGAGAAACAGCTGGACCTGATAGAGTGCAGACCACACTTTGCAGCCCATGGTAAACGGGGCTGTGGAAAACCTTGAAGTGGAACGCCCTTCACTACATTGTCCTTTTGGGACAGGTGAGAGATTGAGGCTACAGGCTTCCCTGAAATTCTGAGGGAGCAGTGGGGTGGGAGATAGAGCTCACAAGACACCATGAGGACAGTAGTGAAGGAAAGGCAGGGACAGGCTGGTGAGTGGAGACCCCTGTGTTTGGCCACTACAGATGGCAGAGGCGTGGAGATGCCATGTGGAACTCTGGAATCCTGGATCCAAGTCCACCAGCCTCAGAGGCCTTGGCACCTTGGAGCACAGGAGCCAAGTCTGCAGTGGGCATTTCCTAGCAGGGAGTGGCATGTTACCACAGCCCCAAGACCTGGGGAAGTTGGGGGTCAGGATCATGAACCCTGAGCTCTAGCTCTGCTCTTCCCTTTGACCCTGACCTCCCTGCCCCTTGGCAGCCCCCAGCATGGAGCTGCAGGACACAAAGGTAAAAGGCATCCATGTGTTGAAGGTGTGAGGAAAGGTGGGGCAGGGGGGTGGTGCTGGCACAGAGGCAAATCATCAAAAGAGTTCAAGAGTTTAAGGTTAAGCAGAATTTAGATGCCATCGTTATCTTTTGTGTGCCTGGCATAAGCAGGTGAGTCCGTGGCTGAAATTGCTTGGAGTAGTTGTGGAAAGGTCACCATGCTAGACAGTGTCCAACCTATAGAAACTTTCAAGTCTTCGTAGGAACCTATGTTAAGCTCTTCTGAGGAAAATAAGCTCACAGGTCAGTTGCTGGCCTCGCTGAGAGAAGTGCCTGAGTGAGCTCTACCCTCTGCTCATCTCCACCTCCAGGCATCTCTCTGTGTTGTATCCATTACTGTAGAAGAATTTCCTCCTGCACCTGGAAGCAGCATGTTTTCAAGTTCAACTTCAGCTTCTTAACTATATTACCTTTAACCAAATCACAGTTTCCTCAATTCTAAAATGGAATTAATTATTTCTGCCTCACGGACTGTTGTGAGGATTAAACAAGTCCATAAGGCCTCTTGCAGGGTGCTGGGCAGGTGTCCCCTGCCTCTCATGCCTCCCCTGCTGTGGTCCCCAGGATGCTCAGAGGCTCCCAGCACTACCAAGCTTCATGGTCCCAGCTCTCTACTTTCCCACCCATTTAGAGTCACAGAGAGGGCACATTAAAACACAGCTCACTGGGCCCATATCCAGAGTTTTAAATTCAATAGGTATGGGGTGAGGCCCTAGAATTTGCATTTCTACCAAGTAAGTCCCCATGTGATGCCAATGCGGCTGGTCCAAGGCCTGTACCTGCAGAACCACTGCTGGAGATTTGAGGTGAGATAGAACAAAAATGGTAGATACCCACCCCCCAGCTTTTTTACCTCAGGGTTTCCATCTTCGGAACCTAAAGTACTCACTCTGGGATTTGGAAGACCCCTGATGGAATGGCCACCCGTCTTTCTGGGGCTCCTTTCCTTTGCCAGAGGGACAGACCACACAGATGTAGAGGTAGTAATGTAGGTACTTGGCAATGGTCGATAATATGAAACAACTTCTCTTGACTTTAGAGTGCACTATGTAAATTGTTCCCACCAGCAAGTTTCTTTTACTACGTATACTCTTCAAAAGCTAATGTGAGAATGGGTTTGTCTCCACTGGACTTCTAGCAGCAGCTTCAAGAAGTTTCAAAGGACAGTAGGAAGTCTGAGTAGGGTTCAGAATGGACCAGGGCTAAATTATCCCACTGCCTCACATATCATGGGTGACTAAGACAGTGGTTCTCAGCCCATGGGTTGCAACTCCTTTTTAACAATGAAAGTACCTTGCAGCATTAAGATCGAGAACCACTGGACTAAGAGGTGATCACTGTCACATGTTGAGCCTAGTGCACTGTAGGAAAGCATCTTTAGAAGAATGATGCAGATTCTAAGGGAGGAGCCCTCTCCTGGCTCTGAGGGGTGGGATGGAGCCTTTACCTTTGAAAACAGGTAGTAGGTATTCTTTGCTGTGACCGAATCAAGGGATGTAAGGACTGTGAAGTGACGCTGTCTCCCTAGGAAGAGTTAGGCACCCACAGGAGAATAAGCTGCACAGTCTGACCTGCAGCTGCCCAAGCTCAATGTCCCAGGGGTCTGCTTGGTAGAGAGCTCGTAATGTGCCCTGTTCTGACTTCCTCTACCTCCCTTCCAGAATCCCAGGTTCCCAGGCAACCTACAGATGAGTGATCGACAGCTGGATGAGGCAGGAGAAAGTGATGTTAACAACTTGTAAGTGGCTGCCCTCATGCTCTGGGCCCAGTGGGGAAGAAAGCTTTTGTAGATGCCGTCACTTCTTATTAGAGTCATAGAGGGCCCAATAGCAGGGGTGGTGGCAAGGGTGGGGACTGAAGTCCCTGGGTGGGTTTACTTCTCTGCCTCGCCCTCCCCCCCACCAGCCTAACAATGGTACCTGTCCTCTCCCTTTGCCACTGTCACCATTGACTCTGCCTTGCTGGATCTTCAGCTGTCCTTAATACCCACTTGGTGGGGTCTGAGACTTGGAGCTGGGGTGTGTGTGCGCATGTACTTGTGTGTATGTATGTGTGCATACATGTACATAAATGTACATGTGCATTTCTGCATGCATTGGGACTGAAAGTAGCAGTGCAGAACTTGGGGAAGGGGTAAGTAACAGACTGACCTCAAGCTGTGGAATGTAACCTATCTTTCCTCTTGGGTCCAGTTTCCAGTTAACAGTAGAGATGTTTGACTACCTGGAGTGTGAACTAAACCTCTTCCAAACTGGTGAGTTTACTCCCTCTCATCTGACTCAGGCTCTCAGGGAGTCTCAGCCTTGTGCCCTGATGGGACCTGTAGGCCTTAACCTCCTTTCTCCACACATTGTGCAGTGCAAGGGACAGGAAAATGGAGATGTTCACACCTCCTCTCTGCTCTCTCCATTCCTCATGCAGGGAGAGCCCAAAGCTCCCAGGTATTCTCCAAAACAGTTGTTTCATATCTGAGCAGAAAGACCATACTACCCCTCCCTGCTGGTCTCCCTCCAGAAGCCCAGGCCTCTAGGAGCCCAAAGACAAGTCATACCATTTTTTTTCCCCCTTAGGGCAAGCATGAAATGGGTGACCTCTGAACCAGGAGATAGGCCTGATCTAAGTCATACCCCTTTGACAGCCATGGGACTGCAGCCATAGTCCTGACCAGCCCTTTGGCCTAATCCTGCCTGTTATTCAGCACAGGGTGGCTTCAGGGGCATGATTTCTACTCAGAAGGAAGGACTTGTATCTGTTATCACATAGCAGCCATGGGAATAAGCTGGTGAAGTTGGGTTGTCACTCAAGTCTATGTGAGAAGCCCATGGAGTTCCACTTTGCTAGCAGGGGGCATTGGCCACACTTCCAGGCTCCCTTCTGCTGGGGGTCCTGTCCCAGTGCCTCCAGACCATAAGCTCCTGGTGCTTCCCAGAAAAGTCTTAGCTAGTCTCTTCTCTCTAGTGTCTCTCCTACCCATGCCTCCCTACAAGCTCCCTGCCTTTCTCTGGGGGACACAGGAGCAATGAGTATTCTAAGACTTAAGGCATCCCACAATAAGCATCCAGCTCTGAGAAGGGGTGGTTCACGCTGCACGTATTTACACAAGTTTGGCAGCAGGGACCACCCTTGGTATATGACTCCCTCACCCTAAATTGCAGCTTTCTCCATTATGTTCATCTGCAGCAAATGCTTATTGCTACTGGCCTATTCGTTTCCAGGATATTCTGTTTCAGGCTATACTAGGCCTATGACAGGGCAACAAATTTCTTAATACTTTTTTTTCAGATTAATGTAAGGGTACATACTGTTAGGTTACATACATAGTTATTACATTAATATTAGACTACATGTGTTATTTGTGTTTGTTAGGTAAAGTCCTAGTTGTAGTTGAGTCCTTCACCCAGGAAATGTGCTGTATACTCTTACATTGTGCCTGTTAGGTGAGAACTTACCAACTCCCCCTTTTCTCCCTTCTCTTTGTCTTGAATTTAATTGTGTTTTTCTCTTGTGTGGGTTCATTAACAGAATCTCACTCTGTTGCCCAGGCTGGAGTGCAATGATGTCGTTAAAGCTCACTGCAACCTCAAACTTGCAGGCTGAAGCAGTCTTTCTGTCTCAGCCTCTCAAGTAGCTGGGCCTAGAGGCATGCACCACCACACTCCACTAATTTTTCAACTTTTTGTGGAGACAGGGTCTTGCTTTATATCTAGGCTGGTCTAGAACTCCAGTCTCTTCCCACCATGGCCTTCCAAAGTTCTGGGATTACAGGCATGAGCCACTGCATCCTTAATATTTTGACCAATCAGTTGAGTATACGATGTGGTCAGACACAAGAAATAGTAGGAAACTGTTGTTTGTGGGAGAAGGAACGTACTCAGCTGCCTGGTCACCTATTTGAGCAGGGCCTTTTATAAAACTCAGTAGAGAAGCAGAAATAAAATATAATATAGTGTCTGCCCTCTCAGCCTAGCCAGGTTGAAGGAAGTGGTATAGATGCACTTTTTTGCATTAGAAACATTTGCATGAAAGTATATGAACAATTGTTGTGACTAACTTTCCATTATTTTCCTTAGGTGGAAAGGACTTAGGTGGATAATTCAGACTTCATGTGTATTTAGCTTTGGAATGCAGGCATGAGTGATATTCTTAGATTATCCTTATTGGGAAAGTGCAACCTAGAAGTTGCAACTCAGCTGATCCCAGCTGTCTCCCAACAGGTCTGGCCTCTTCTCAGAGCTGCTGCCTGCTTGGCAGAGGGGAACAAGTCAAATATTGGAAGCTTTGGGGCTGTCCTGCCAGCTCCTGATGGACAGGTAGACTGAGAGAGATGGTGACAACATCCAAAAGGGTATGAGAAAGCTGAGAGAATGAGTATGAGGTGCAGGTGCTCAGCTGAGTTGTCTTTTTGTCTTACACTTCATGAGCCCTAGCCCTGGTTTTTATGCATTGTTCCCTTACCATTATTACCACAAGATGCCTGTTCCCAAATGAGGAGCCATGACCTCATCTTTGAATTCCCTCTGTTCTAGCCCAGTGCCTGGTATATATGGCAAATGCTTAGCAATGAAAGAATGATTCTGGCCAGGCGCAGTGGCTCACACCTGGAATCTCAGCACTTTTTGGGAAAGCCAAGCCAGGAGGATCATTTGAGCCCAGGAGTTTGAGACCAGCTTGAGCAACATAGTGAGACCCAATCTCAACAAAAAATAGAAAAATTAGCCAGGTGTGGTGATGAGCACCTATAATCCCAGCTTCTTGGGAGCCTGAGCCAGGAGGATCTCTTGAGCTCAGGAGTTTGAGGTTGCAGTGAGCTGTGATGTATGATAATACCACTATATTCCAACCTGGGTGATATAGTGAAACCCTATCTCTTAAAAAAAGAAATGGAAGATAAAAAGAAAGAAAAAGTGCTGCCTTTGGAAAAACAACAATGAAGAGATAAGTGAATAGAATTCATTGAATGTTGACAGTTTCCAGCTTCAAGTCTGGGACTATTTGGGGTGAATTACTTTTAAAGTCTTCTGGAGCTAAGTTATCCCTGTTTAAGACCCAAGTTTTTGCAGAAACCCCTTTCGTGGTCAAATGCATTGATTCAGAATCCAGAATCCTCTGTCCCATATACACCCAACTACACAACATGCTCCAGGTGCCTACATTTGAGTACTACAAAAATCAAGAGAGCTGGTATGGAGTAAGTCCCTCCCATCTGAGTCCTAGTATGTGACCCTGTAGGATTCTGACCAGTACCCTTGAAAGGGTGCCAACACTGGTAAACTTAGCAAATTACCCTTAACGTTTATTTTGAGGACTTGGTTTTCAAAGAGTCTTCTCTAGGCCAGCAGCAGCAGCATTGCCTGAGAACTTGTTAGAAAAGCAAATTCATGGGTCTCAACGCAGACCTGCTGAATCAGAGTCTCTGGAGGTAGATGGAGCCTGGCACCTTGTGTTTTAACAAGCACTCCAGGTCTGCACTGCCCACAGGGTAGCCACTAGCCACAGGTGACTAGTTAAATTGATTACAATTAAATAACATCTAGAAGTCAGGTCCTCAGTTACAATAGCCATATTTCAGGTAGCCACATGTGGTTAGCATACTAGACAGTCCATATGGAAGGTCATTTCCATCAATACAGAGTTCTTTTGGGTGGCGCTGCTCTGGGTGATTCTTGTGCATGCTAAAGAAGAGCATCTGGAGCCCAGAGAGATTGAGCCGCTTGTCCTTGGTCACACAGATATAGGGTGACTGGGTGCCATGGGGCATTCCTGGAAGGCAGCAGGAGCTGGGCAGGCAGGGAGATGGAGTAGTCTGTGGTTTCTTCCCAGAGCCAAGCACAAGGAATCCTGTAGACTTGGGGACTGCTGCCTTGCAGTGACAGCTGCTTTTAATTTATGTCAAGAAGAAAAGCTGCCTTTTAATTAGAACAGTTTGGGATTTTTTTTTTTTTTTAGCTGCCAGACTAACCCAGTTACGATTAATGCAGTTGGGGAGGCAGGGCACACTCAGCCCTAGGCTTCCCTCATGGCAGTTCCGCTCACAGAGGGACCTCAGGGAGAGTCATTTCATTGCCTGTCGCAAATGGAGTCTCCAGAAGCAGCAAGCAGCTGATACAAGAAGGAAAATCAGCCCTGGTGGGTGATGTGAGCTCAGGGTCCATGGCCAGGCCTCCAGTTGTTTGGCGTTAGAAGGGGGTAGGGGTTAATACAGCAGAGCCTCCAGAGCAAGAAACCAAGGGAGAGTGGAGGGCAGTACTTCTTCTGTTGACTAGCTGCCCCAGGGACCTCCACTTTGCTCCTGACAGTGCATCCTGCTCCCTAGCCTAGCCCTTTATTTTGCCCCTGAAGGGCTTTCCTATTGTCCATCCTCCTCCTGGTGTCCCAGAACCCCTATAGCAAGCTACAAGGAATCCACACATTTTCTGATCAATGTCTGGCTACTGCTACCACCAGATCAGTGCTTCCAAAGGCCAGGGATGACCAGGAGGTCTGGATCAGCTGTCTCCGCAGCCCCTTTTAATCCAGAAATTCTGATTCCCCGTAAAACACAGGGCTCTCCTTTAATCAATAACCCAGCTCCTCATTCAGTAAGAAACTCTAAAAGATGATGTGTTTATTCTATTTCTGCCCAGATTGGCTACAAGTGGTCTAGGAAGCCCCTTGAAGACTAGAAGGAAGAGATTCTCCTCTGTTTACAGCTCCCCCAGTTTATGAGGAAAGCTCCATTTCTCTGGGCTGTTCCAGGGCCCCACACAAAGTAGAGCCTATCTAGTTCAAGGCTGGCAGAAGTGAAGGCACCTGATCTCTTGCCTTTCTTGGCCATGTGGGCTTTCCAATGGATTTTTTAACTCATCAGCAAAACCACTTGTTGCCTTTGTGACCTTCAAGTTACTCATGTTTTGTTTCTTTACCTATATAAGGGGAGCATCTTTACCTATCTCACAGAAGTGTTGTAAGGGTTATATGAATTAGATGAGATAATGTACACACAGAATAGGACTGTGGTGTATGTTCTACCCCTGCCTCTGCCCCTCTGAAGAGGTCACCTATAATTTCCTGGCCCCACACTCTTTCTCCCCTTTTTATTTCCTAGTATTCAACTCCTTAGACATGTCACGCTCCGTCTCAGTGACAACAGCTGGGCAATGCCGCCTAGCACCACTGATCCAAGTCATATTGGACTGCAGCCACCTCTATGACTACACTGTCAAGCTTCTCTTCAAACTCCACTCCTGTGAGTATGCCAGCCCAGATCATCTGTGAGATTTGAGCCAGAAGGACAGTCCCAGCCTGAGGATGTCTCGGGAGAAATACAGCCCCTCTCAGTGCCCTTGACTTCTTGTTTCTGCTCCAGAAGACCCTGGAGCTTCTGACCACTGTGAGAACAGAAGAACAGGGCCCAAGCTTCTGTGTGCCTCATAAAGCCTCTGGCTTGCAGTAGTTGTGTCCCAGGATGGTCCCCACTTACCTGCCTTTTGCTTGAGCACATCACCATTCATCAAATATGTTAAGTATTTTAGGAACTGCCAAATAACAGCAGACCTGGCCTAGAACCACAGGAGCCAAGGCAGGTGGTCTCCAAACCAATCATCAACATAATCCTTTTGTACAAATGGAATTTTACAGAGAGACATAAAACGTAAAACAGCTGCTCCTTACCTAGCTCCAGATCTCAGGGTGCCCTTAGCAGAGTATTTTGGAAACTACTGGTTTTGCAGGAGTTCTTACATTTTTTTGTGCTTCTTATTTAAAATGATTTGTGTAGGCCCTACTTCAATAAATTAGTAGGTCTTCTAGGGTTCATGATCTTCATATCCCCAGATAAATCTGATGTGAATGGTCCCTGGGCCATACTCCAGGGTGGTAGCCACCATGAAGGATATACACATGCAGGACTTGTGGATGATGGGTAACCAAAGAAAATCAAGACCCAAGTGGATACTTGCAAAATTTTACAGCACAAAGGGGACAAGGATGCCCTACACTTTTAGAAGTATAGGATAAGAGATACTCTGTAACTATGGTCATTGACAAGTAATGAATGTGTTTATTTAGACAGGACAAGGGAAGTAGCATACTGGTTAATCTAGGATGGTTTCATGGAAGGGGGATTGAAATTTACTGTTGAAGGATTAGAAAGACTTTGGAGCAAGTAGGTGCGCCTGGAAGGAGCAGAAAGGTAGACTAAGTCCCAAGAGAAGGGTGGCAGCTGCCTAGAAGTACTGAACACAGATGAACTCTGAATTGTTTCCAAGATGCTACAGAACACAGATGCCCAGGAGAATATCACCACTGTCTTCTTGCAAAGTGGAAAGCTAAGAGAAGAGGCAAGTAATTAAGTATTTAAGCGGACAGGTCTTCTTTAAAGACAGAGCATTCACAAGACCCACCTTTTTTTTTTTTTTGAGACAGAGCCTCAAGCTGTCCCCCTGGGTAGAGTGCCGTGGCATCACGCTCACAGCAACCTCCAACTCCTGGGCTCAAGCGAATCTCCTGCCTCAGCCTCCCAAGTAGCTAGGACTACAGGCGCCCGCCACAACGCCTGGCCATTTTTTTTGGTTGCAGCCATCATTGTTGTTTGGTGGGCCCGGGCTGGGATTTGAACCCGCCACCTTAGGTATATGTGGCTGGTGCCTCAGCTGCTTGAGCCACAAGACCCACCTTGATTGCCTCTGGTCAGGGAAGCTGTGACCGGTAGGAGAGACACTCTATACAGTATATACTTTACTAAATATAGACTTTTGTTTTAGAACTATAAGAAGTTACAAAGATAGTACAGAACATTCCCATATGCCCTTTACCCTCTATTATTAATATATTAGCATGATATGTTTGTCAAAACTAATAAACCAGCATTGATAACCTTATTATTAACTAAAGTCCATAATTCTTGTGGATTTCCACAGTTTTAACCTAATATCCTTTTCTGTCCCTAGTCTCATTCAGGACACCACATGACTCTCAGTTGTCATGTCATTCCTTAGGTTCCTCTTGACCACAAGCATTTCTCAGACATCCCTTGTTTTTGATGACCTTCATAGTTTTGACTGCTGGTCAGGTTTTTAGGTAGAATATCCCTCAATGTTTTTTTTTGATGTTTTTCTCCTGATTGGACTGAGGCTAAGGGTTCTTAGGAGAAAGAACAAGGAGGTAAAGTACCATGTCCACCCACTGTCCACTTTTGCCATTTTGAATGATCATGCTTTATATGTGTGCTCCCTGCTTATACCAAATGAATCACCCATTTAAAAAATAACTAGAATTTAAATTTAAATAATAAAGCAAAAACTTAAAAGATTGCTGAGTTGTGATCTGTAGCTGAAATTTGCAGACTCACACCATCTTGGAAGTGAAAGGACAGACTGTGTGTGGGAGGAGGCTGGCCCTATGAGGTGGCTGCTTAAACATCATCATAGAGCTGGCTGGTGACCAAGACAGGACTGGATCTAAATCCCTTGAGTCTTAGTCCTGTGTTCTTTGCCTAATGCCCAGCATCTTCTTGGGCAGACTATGCGCCTCTGTCCCAGGCTAACGTCAGTCCTGAGCCTCAGCGTAAAATACAGCAATGCTGAGCATACAGCACCTGGGAGAGAACCACAACTCCAGGGCCTGCTGCCTGGTCAGGTCACCACTGCGTCTGTGGTCGGGGACACAACTTCTACCCTTCTATGCCCAGAAACAAACTGAAATGGAAGGATTTGGGGATGAGGGATGATCATCCTTACAACCCTGCTGGAACTACTGGGCTACATTGGGTACCAACCAGTCATCAGGGCCACTCTAGGCCAGGAGTGGCTACTGGCAGGGCTGGCCATATGCTCCGGGATGGCTGGTCCCCTCCCTCCTGAGCCCTGCTGTGTCTTACCTGGCCTCTGATCCTCCTCCCCATTCACAGTCTTTCCAATTTCTTCCAGGCCTCCCAGCTGACACTTTGCAAGGCCACCGGGACCGCTTCATGGAGCAGTTCACAAAGTAAGTGGTTGGCATGGAGAGATGAAGGCAGACCAAAGAGTGCCATAAAATTGGTGAAGCCATGCAAGGACCCCTTGTTTTAAAATATTTGAGGGGTGAGGTTATCTGCGTTTTAAGGAAATAGCTCAGACAGGAACAACCCTACCGATGGCTAGGGAAGCTATTGGTTCTCTAATAGATCCCATAGAAACATATAGAAGAGGCTTGGCGCCTGTGGCTCAAGCAGCTAAGGCACAGCCACATACACCAGAGCTGGCGGGTTCAAATCCAGCCTGGGCCCGCAAAACAATAATGATGGCTGCAACCAAAAAACAGCCAGGCTGTTGTGGTGGGCTCCTGTAGTCCCAGCTACTTGGGAGGCGGAGGCAGGAGAATTGCTTGAGCCCATGAGTTGGAGGTTGCTGTGAGCTGTGATGCTACAGCACTCTACCCAAGGTGACAGCTTGAGTCTCTGTCTCAAAAAAAAAGAAAAAGAAACATATAGAAGAAACAGATTCCATCCATTCATTTATCATCCTTCTTTGTGCCCAGCACTTCATCTTTTTTTCCTTTTTCCAAGTTCTGGTCTTACAGGATTTACATGCTGACGGCTCCTAAATATGTATCTCCAGCTGAAACATCTGAATTCCAGTCTCACATACCTGATTTGACATCTACACACCAGACCTAAATCTCAAACTGAACTCTAGCTTTCACCAAAACACCTTTCTCTCCCCAACCTTTTCTATCTCAGTAAATACTGCTATAATTCACTTAGGGCAGAGATCTGGCATTCCCCATTTTCCTCATCCCCCCGTGTCCAGTCCATCAGTGGGTTCAGGTGACACCCTACAAATATGTCCTGCTCTATCCACATTTCCATTTCTTCCGCTACCTGATAGGTAGCTGCCTGTCAGGACGCTTCAATACTGACCAGTCTCCTGGTCCTCCCTTTGCAATGCAGTCCTTACTCAGTGGATAGAACAACCTAAGAATGTAAATCCCTTGCTCAAAACCTTGAAATGGTTCCTGGTTACACGTTGAATAAAATGTAAGGTCTTCTTTGTTATGGGCTGCAGGGCCCTGCATAGCCTGGCCCTGTGCCTCTGACCTCGTCTCTGGTGCTTAGAGTGCGCCAGCCACTTGGGGGTCTTCTTTCCATTCCTGGAACATACCCCATTGGGGCCTTAGCACTTCCTATTCTCTCTTTGGGGTGTTTTTCCTTCAGCCTGGCCTGGTCCAGGTCATGATGGGTTGTTTTGTTTTTTTTGTTTTTGAGACAGTCTCACTATATCACCCTCTTGGATTTAAGCGATTCTCTTGCCTTAGCCTCCCAACTAGCTGAGACTACAGGTACCCACCACAACGCCTGGCTGGTTTTTGGTTGTGGTTGTTGTTTAGTTGGCCCAGGCTGGGTTTGAACCTACCAGCCTTGGTGTATGTGGCCAGCACCCTAACCACTGAGCTATGGGCACTGAGCCCCTGGTCATGTTTTGTCACCTAGTCAGAAGGGCAGTCTCTGAGCCCCTTATGTAAGTCAGCTCATCTTCCCTCCTTCTTCCTCCTCCCTAACCCCACCCTACCTATTTCTTTCATAGTTCCTAGCACGGCTAATTTTTTAACCATTATTATACCCCTAGCACCTGACAAATAGCAGTCCATTAAACACGTGGCACTCCATAAATATTTGAATGAATTAATGAGCTAATTAGCCAACAATCTAGTCTAGGCAAAAAGAGCTTGTCTGACTGAGGAGTAGGTTATTGTGGCGCATTTGGGGAGACAAGGAGGTGAGTAGATGAGAGGTATAACTCATCCTTCAAGTAAGCATATCCAGGAAAGGAGGCGGGAGGGAATGGGGTGGGAGGAGAGGAAGCTGAGCCCTTTGAAGCCCTTCATGCTTGTCTGTACATTTTTTGACCCTCTTGTTTATCTTGTTAATTTTCTCTTCCTTGACTGTAGCACCTGAATCCCTAGTTTAGGCTTCTTTTGCCAGTTGCCCAGGAGTAATCATAGGACAAGTGCAGAGCTCTACTAACCTTCTGGTCTTCCCTGTTCCCTTTGGGAAGCCTAGTGCATATTCTTTGATAAATGACTTATTAAATCCTAGGAGACAGGTCCCCAGGGCTGATTTCCTGGAATGTTAAATTCCAGTAGCTTGTGAAAGCAGTCGAGCCTATTACTGTTGGCTCCAGCCCAGAAAGACAGGGATGTGTGGTTAGGTGATTTGATTTCCTTTCATTTTTCTCTGGCTTATGAAAACAACCTCCTGGAGCAGCCGCCTCACTTTCTCTTCCACACAGATGCGGCCCCTTTCTGAGGCCTCACTGTCCTTGAATTCAGAGAAGGCAGCAATGACATCACAGGGACAAATCTTGGTGTCTGACAGACTGTAATAAGACCCTGTAGATTTAGTTTTTGAGGCTGAGCAAGAGAAGATTCTGTATTGTAGGTAGAGGATGCTGAGATCTATGATCCTTACATATCCTCAGAACATATAGAAATGGATGATCTCAGGTTTCTTGGTCTTCAGTATTTAGATCCAAAATAGAGCTGGGAATGGTAGCTCATGCCTAAATCCTGGCACTTTGAGAGGCTGAAGCAGAAGGATCACTTGAGGCTAGGAGGTCAGGACCAGCCTGGGCAACATAGCCTGTCACTAACCCCCCCACCACCACCACCACCAAAAAAAATTAGCCAGGCATTATAGCATGCATCTGTTGTCCCAGGTACTTAGGAGGCTGAGCTAGGAAGATTGCTTGAGCCCAGGAGTTGGAAGCTGCAGTAAGCTATGATTCTGCCACTGCCCTCCTGCCTGGTCAACAGAGTAAGACCCTGTCTCTAACAACAAAATAGAGATTTGGGAATGAGAAAAAATATGACAGTTTCTTCATGTCTGTGTTCATCCAAGATTAGGGCATATATTGTTATTCTGCCTGGCACTATGTCAAACCTAGTCCCCACTCTCTAGGAAATTATGGTTTAATTGAGGAGATAACAAAAAGAGGGCTACCTTAGTAATTAATTAGTCCCTTTCCCTTTCCTATGGTTAGTTGGTTTCTTCTCAGAGAAAGTAAACTTACTTTAATGTTGTTCTAAAACCAAACATTCCTAGGAAGATAAGTCTGCAAAAACAACATATATTCTACACTGATGAAGAAATTTGTTTGGGGGTTGTCTACACTTCCAAAGGATTTGTGTCATGAATTACTCTTTCCTGGCCACCAGACAACTGAGGATTGGCTATAAATAACCCTCTGTAGCATCATAATTGAATCCTAGCGCCATGGAGTTCATCTCCTTGACAGCCTGTGCCTTTGGGCAGGGTAAGGGTCAGGAAGGGCAGTGGCTGCTCTGCCCCTGCCTGGGGCTGATGAAGACACCCAGCACCCCTCAGGCCCTTTTCCATCTCTAGGTTGAAAGATCTGTTCTACCGCTCCAGCAACCTACAGTACTTCAAGCGACTCATTCAGATCCCCCAGCTGCCTGAGGTAAGTGTGCCTGGCCACTGCAAATTCCTAAGGTGCTCTCTTAGAGTCTGGCACCATTTGAGGATGTGTCTCCCTTCTTCAGAACCCACCCAACTTCCTGCGAGCTTCAGCCCTATCAGAACACATTAGCCCTGTGGTGGTCATCCCGGTGGAAGCCTCATCACCTGACAGTGAGCCAGTCTTAGAGAAGGATGACCTCATGGATATGGATGCCTCCCAGCAGGTGGGGGCCACATGGAAGAGAAACGCAGCCCTTCCCATACCCCCAAGTGCAGGAGAAAGGCTGGGAAAGGCCCTGACCAAGGCTCAGTGGCTCTGAGCACTCTTCTCTGTGATTCCTGGAGGGGGCATAAATAGATCTAACCTGGATTAAGAAAGGAGACCTATATATAGAATTCTTTGGCTCTCTAATTCATTCTTGCTCCCTTTGATCACCACAGAATTTATTTGACAACAAGTTTGATGACATCTTTGGCAGCTCATTCAGCAGTGACCCCTTCAATTTCAACAGTCAAAACGGTGTCAACAGGGATGAGAAGTGAGTTCCAGCTGTGTTCTAGCAGGTGGTGCAGGACCTCAGGGAAGCCATGGTTTGCCTCATAACACGGACCCAGAGAGGGACTTTAATGATACTCGGGGCTCCTTAGATAAAGGATGTCTTGATCCTCGCATATTGGCCCCTTTAATTCCAGAAGAAAATCAATTAACTGTGGGCCTTTGGGTATTAAATTAGCAATGGGTAACACTTAGTAGCACATAATTTATGGAGTTTCAAAGAATTGTCCCCAAATAAATACAAGCTTTTAACTTCCTCCCCTGAGCTTCCAGCTCACATTAAAGGAAAGACGTAAAAGCTCAGCAGAAGCAAACCTATCCTCCTTATCTTCCCAGGGACCACTTAATTGAGCAGCTGTACAGAGAGATCGGTGTGCTGAAGGCACAGCTGGACAACATGAAGACTGAGGTATGCGATGGGGTCCAGTCTGCTTTGTGCTTCAACAGGATAGATTTTAATGTCTAAATTTACATCACATAGATACTTGTTGGACCACATCCCAAGGTGAAGTTAATTATTAGAAATGGTGAGGCCAGGAAGACCTCAGTCTTCCTGTGACTTCATTGTGATACTTTGAGAGCAGCAGTGTCTCCTTGATGCCCAGAGATGACCTTGGTCACCACCTGTCTAGGAGGCTGTAGCAAGTGAGACAGGTCCTTCTCATGTGTAATAAAAAGATTTGGTTTAGGCTGGTCGCAGTGGCTCATACCTGTAATCCTAGTACTCTGGGAAGTCAAGGCAAGAGGATTGCTTGAGATCATGAGTTCAAGACCAACCTGAGCAAAAGTGAAACCCTGTCTCTACTAAAAAATAGAAAATATAGAAAAATTAGCTGGACATTGTGGTAGGCACATATAGTCTGAGCTACTTGGAAAGCTGAGGCAGGAGGATCTCTTGGACCCAGGAGTTAGAGATTGCTATGAGCTAGGCTGATGCCACGGTACTCCAACTTCGGGTGAAAAATTGGTGTAGCTCTGATTGCTGTGTGTGGTGTCAGTGCTGTATTGGTGACTGACCCTAGGAGCTGTGGCTGGTCACATGACTACTTAAAGGGACAGCCACGGCACCCTTACCTCCCTCCCAGCTTGTCTTCTGCTGCTCCTGACCCCTTTTACTAAGACCAGGGTTCCCTGGCCATCGTCCCCTGTTGTTGGTTGGTTCATAATGACCAGAAGCCCCAACTCTCCTGAGACTTTGGGAGTTAGCTTGTTAGGGGACTAGGTATTTGGTGAGTTCAGGAAGCAAGTAGGCCCCACTTCTCCTGCCCAGCACCCCACCCCCATGGCAGCAGATGACTGACCTCATGACCTGAGTACTCCCTACAGGGCCAGCGGGCTATGTTGCAGCTGAAGGGCCGTATCAGTGAACTGGATGCTGAGCTGGCAGAGCAGCGGCACCTGCGGCAGCAAGCAGCCGATGACTGCGAGTTCCTCCGGGCAGAGCTGGATGAGCTGCGCAGGCAGCGGGAGGATACCGAAAAGGCTCAGCGGAGCCTGACAGAGATAGAGAGTGAGAGGCCACTGGGGTAGGCCTGAGGGTGGGCACGGGAAGCAGTGTCTTGCTATATCAAGATTAAAGGTAGAGGTGGGCAGCAGAGCCCAGGCCCCACATCTTTCTAGAAATACCATCAGGAAGGCCAACTCTCCTCCTCAGTCTGAAGGGCAGCAGGTGCCGCTGAGTACAGAAATAGGGACTGTGAAAGGTGATGCTGAGCTCCTGCCCTGGATTGTACACCCAGAGGAGAGGGAGAGACACCAGAGAGCCTAAAGAAGAAATTGTCAGAAAAGCCAAAAGCCCTGATTAAAAAAAAGTGCCGTGTGGCTCAGTGCCTGTAGCTCAGCGGCTAGGGCACCAGCCACATACACCGGAGCTGGCAGATTCAAACCTAGCCTGGGCCTGCCAAACAACAATGACAATTACAACAAAAAAATAGCTGAGTGTCGTGGCAGGTGCCTGTAGTCCAAGCTACTTGGGAGGCTGAGGCCAGAGAATCGCTTAAACCCAAGAATTTGAGGTTGCTGTGAACTATGGCACCCTGGCACTCTACTGAGGGCAACATAGTGAGACTTTGT